GAGTGACAAGTCTGAATGTCGCTTTGAGACCTCCTCTTCCCCTCACCTCTTCCTTCCTCTTCCTCCCTGTGTGTAGACGGTGGTGGTGCACGTGTTCCCGGTGGAGGACCAGGTGCCAGTCGAAGTTCCCGGCAGCGTCCGCTCGCTGACAGTGAAGGAGACGGAGGTGGTTTACATCACCCAGGCTCACCTTCACTTCACAGACCGAGAGCACCCAGATGCTGACCTCACCTATGTCATTACACAGCCCTGCTTCAGCTCGCTACATCCTGGGTGAGGACCCGGCTGCCAGCTTAGCTCTGACAGAGGAGGAAGAGCAGACCCTGTGACTGAGAAACTAACTATCGTGTTTGTATTCGTTTTCAGCCTGATGGATGCAGGACGTCTGTTCTACACCGACAGCACCAACGCCATGAAGAAGGACCACACAGCGCCCGTGCTGAAGTCCTTCACTCAGGTGTGCAGCACCTGCTTGGTTCAAATACATATGAAGGAGTCGGGGGGGGGGGAGTGGCGTGGCTGGCGAGGTTGGCATGGGTCGTGCTTTTGCAGGTTAAGATGTAAATTTCTTGTTTTCTCCTAGCATGCTGTGAACCACATGAAGGTGGCCTTCATGCCGCCGGTCGAGGACATCGGGCCCGAGTCGCTCTTCGTCCAGTTCATCTTCTCAGTCAGCGATCACCACGGCGACACCGTCTCCGGCCTCATCTTCAACATCACGGTTACCCCTGTCGATGACCAGGCGCCAGAGGTCAGAGGTCAAACGGGCGGAGCCTCTGGTTTGACCGTGCTGCGGATGTCGTGCTGAATCTCTCTGTGCTCCTCAGGCTTTCACCAACCTGCTGCGGGTGGAGGAGGGCGGCGCGGCCTTCGTGACGGAGGAGCATCTCCTGGTCCGGGACCGGGACAGTCGAGAGGAGGCACTGAGGGTGGAGGTTCGGAGCACGGCTCGTCACGGCCGGCTGGAGCTGCGGGGCCGAGCGCTGCAGCAGGGAGGCGGGTTTACCCTGCAGGAACTGAGAGGGCTGGGCGTCAGGTGAGACCCGGGTCAGGTGGTTCTGGACGTGCCGTGGTGATCTGAGCTCAGCGATCACTCGGAGAGCTCTCTGGTTTTATCCGCTGCTTCAGCAGATGGGTGTGTTTTCACCGGTGATGTAACGCCAGAGGATTCGGTTTCAGAGGTTCCGAAGTTTTCAGGTGATCATGAAGCTGCTCACCGTGCTGTGGTCGACTGTTTGCAGTCAGTCTTGGTTTCTTAGAGCAGAAAGCACGGAGCGGATTTACTGCCAGCTTTTCTACTCCTCACTTCCTGTCATGTACCTCCTGTTCCAGTGGTGGGCGTTCACATTAAACATGTTTCTAATAACGAGCTCAGAGTGTGCAGGTAGGTCACCTTTAAAGTGTTTCACCTGCACCTCTGTTTTAAACGTCCACTGAACGTTTAGATAAACCAATTATTGTTCCTGTGTTTTTTGTTGCTTTTGCTCGTCTCACATTCATTTGTAGGTGATGTATGATTTCTTGTTCCAGCACACATGAGTGATGCTGCTGTTTTTGCTGTTGTCGTGTTCTTCTGAAACCTCACCCTGCAAAGAGCGCCAGTCACGTAAAATCCAAGCAGCCGGTGGCTGCAACCGCGTGGTGTTCAGGGACCCCGGGTCACTCACCAACCAGCAGTTTGTGTACTTAAAGTTCACAAAAATCAGAAAGTTTCTTCTTTTTTTGAATGTTTAAGGCATCCATCATTTTTTCAGTTGTTCTTAGGTGACTATGAGTATTTCTATAATTAGCAGCTGTTTTTACTATATTTATACTCGGAGGCCAGGTTCTTGTTTTAGCTGAAACCCCACTTCAGGCTTCATATTTTATATATTAAGAATTTCTTTGTTAATGCGATGATTAAAGGCAGACTCTGTCAACACGAGACTTTGACTCGTCGACTCAAAGTTTTCTTTTGTACATTTAATAACATTTTTATTCAGCAATTATTTTGTGCCAGTTTATTTTATTTTATGACATTAATGTTTGTTTTTAATGTATTTATTAAGATTCAAGCTTCTTATTGAGTTTTACTTTGTGTAATTATTCAGATTAAATTAGACTCAGTGTTGTGCTGGACCTTTAGCCCCGGCTTACCGCTGTTGGAAAATTCACAAGAGGTTCAGTAGTCTCCATTTAAAAAGCAGAAACTCTTTGGGCTCTAAACATCATCAGTGTTTGTAGAAGCTGCTGATGTCGCCGATGTTTGACTGAGGAGCTGGTCACAGGTCAGCGTGACGGCGTCTCTGTGTTTCAGGTACATCCACGATGACTCTGAGACCACCGAGGATGTCGTTGGTCTCAAGGTGTCGGACGGTCTGAACTCGGTGGACGTCGTTCTGCACGTTCAGGTGAATCTACTGAATAAAGGTGTCACCTGCTGAGGTTTCTACTGACATGTAACAAGTGAAGAAGAAGCTGATTATAAAAGTTCAGGTGCTACTGTGGGCGGGATGCTTAGACACTAGCAGAAATCGAAACGGGAAAACTTCAGTTAAAAAATCACAGATTAAGACAGGGAGACAAAGAGACACCCGAGTGTTTAACCAGCGACAGTCTGTCTCAGTGGACAATTTGTGGATAAAAGCAAGGTGACACACAGCAACCTAAATCAGAAGAGGTCAGCGTGTTAGGGCATGACCACCTTTTATAGCAAACAGCTCAGTGCTTACAGGTGTTGCTTAACACCTGTGAACATTGAGTCCTGCCCACACAAAACCAGGGGGCAATGCAGAGGAGGAACAAGCAGAGTGGGGGGGTGGGGGGTCAGCAGATGTGGCTGACATTGATGTTGGTGAATGTTTACTTTCTAGAGTTTCCTATTTCAGTGAACTGTGAGGAGTTTTCACTGGTTGTAGTTCAAACTTGGAGAGAAACCAGAGCGATGACTGTGTGTGTGTAAAAAAGACCAAACACAGCCGGGACTTTTAGCTGGTTAATAAAAACGAAATGTAACCGCCCTCCCGTCCTCAGGTGCTGCCGATGAACGACGAGCCTCCTCAGCTGGGCACGCGTCTGCAAGGGGGGCTGAGCTGCGAGGAAGGGGGGCGTGTCCAGGTGACAGTGGACTACCTGTCGGCCACCGACCGGGACAGCGACGACTCCGCGCTGACCTACATGCTCGCCCGGATACCGAGCAGGGGAGAGCTGCAGCGAGCCGGAGTGACTGTGGACAAGTTCTCCCAGCAGGACGTCCTGCAGGGTCACATCTACTATGCCCACACAGGTGAGCAGGCCAGGCTGCGTTCACGGCACGTAGGAAAAATGTGTGTTCCTTCCGCAGGAAGGGAACCAGCCTTGGCTGAACTGTTTGAATGGGTTATGAAGTAGGTTTGAAAGCAGAAACTAACCCGTGGTGCATTCATAAATGAGATGAAATGAAACGAAAGCAGCTCTTTAGAAACGTTTGTTGTGGAAATGCTGTTCTGTTTAAGGCGGGGAGATCGGACCTGAGCCGGTGTTTGACACGGTCACCCTCATCATCTCCGACAGTGAGGCCAGAGGGCCGGATAGCTGCTGCCACGGGGAAGCCCCGCCCCCTCCTGTTCCTCTCCATGGTACACTTCCTGTTTACGATCTGAACATCACAGTTCTTCCTGTCAACGATAAAGTCCCTGCCGTCACTCTGGGTAAGATTCACCAAATTCACAAAAACCACGTGTACAGTTTACACAACAGCCTCATTCACGATGTCACGTGGACACACCTGTTGGATCTGTGTGAGTGAACCAATCAGAGAGAAGCCCTTAACTTTCCTCTGTAACAGCACCAGAGCCACAAAAAACTCAAACTGTCATCAAACTACTTTATTGCAAACAGGAAAGAGGTTTGTGGTTATTTAAACTGCAGAAATAAAGAAATGTCAAAAATAACAAAAACCATTAAAAAACTGTGCTGATGTTCGCTCACTGATCTCCTTCAGGATTGGTCAGATTTTAGTGAAGCTGACACACGGCGTTCACACGATGTCCTTTCAATGTTGTGTTTGCGTTTACATCTGTGAACTGTGGGGAAGTGTGTGCTTTCGTTCCCACTGAAAAGCTCAGTGTGTGCGTGTGCGCATGTGTGTGTTTAATCCTCTCTAACCAACAACACACCGTTACCTATCAGTCCAACACACACTCTGTAATGGGAGGGGCAAGGGGGGCTAACATCTCTCACACACACATACACCGTCTCCCAGTCTTCCCAGTGTGTGTCCCAGTGGTCACTGGTCTCCATTGATAACCATGGAGCTCTTCAATCCCTGTTTTTGGCTGTGAGCAGTGAGAATGATCATCCATCCCAAGAGAGAGAGCGAGTGTGTGTGTGTGTGTGTGTGTGTGTGTGTGTGTGTGTGAGGGGATAATCTCCTCCACAGTAGAGACATCATCTGTGCATTGTCTCTATTTTCTCTGTTTTAATCCTGAAGATGTTCTTTGAGGTGATTTTCGGTCACAGACGTTTAAACTGTGAGGTAGCTGCACTCAGTGACTCACCTGTCACAGGTGGAGATGATGGGAGATGAGAAACAGCAGGTCTGTGTTGTTAGTCGGTGGCTGAAGACTGTTGGGTTCCTTTACAAACGGCGCAAAATTCCCCAGAAATGATGCTCGTCGAGAGTGAAATGTGAACACGATGCTTTATTTCAGGGCAATAAATCAGAACCATTTTAGTAAAAATGAGCCGTCTCACAAATAACACTTTACTGCGAGCTGCATTGTCAGCCTGCTGCTGGCTTGATTACAGCAGGGATGTCAAACACTGTGGGTCAGACCAAAGAAACTCTCCTTCCAGTCAGTCTAATGAAGTTTAACAATGCATTAACTACTCACTATAAAACCAGAAAATTCTACAGTAGGTGGTTAAAAGCAGGGACTTTTCTTTTACGTAACTGTTTATTTATTACTTCATTACCTTGGTGTAGTGCAGGGGTGGGCAACTCCAGGCGTTGAGGGCCGGTGTCCTGCAGGTTTTAGATGTGTCCTTGA